TTAACTTGATAATGAAAGGCAGAATTGTTTCTTCAAACTTTGCTTATTGTGGAATTGACAAGCAAATAGTAAATTAATGCAAATATATAAATAGGCACTGCATTATTTTTTAGGTTAGAGACTTACGTGGATTTTTTAGGTTATATCAGGAACAATTCAGTAACAAAATTAAAGGGTAGGTCTAAATTGATATTTCGACACTTTAAAGATATGGCAAACTTTGACTATTCCGCCCTATTCGTCGGATATACTGACATTGAGAACTCAATGTTAAAGAATGATCTGAAGGAGAGAGCGCATTAAGATCATTATAATCGACACGAATGTTTGAAGTATTAAAATAAATTTGCGTTATTTTAACAACATATTACCATGTGGTAACAGCTGCATTGATCTCTATTCTCTATGTAAGTAAAGTTTGTTCAGATGTCTACTAAAATCCTGACACGTGTGATGAAATTTAATATGTTGTCGCAAATACTAATGAAAAAATGAAAAATTTGCTGAAAAATTCCGAAACATAAAATAAATTCTTAATTTGTCAACTGCAGAATAAAGTAAGTATTGATATTATAGGGTAGATTATAGATTCTTCCTTGCCATGGTTAAGTCGTATTTAACATTTAACACTTACTATTTGGCGAGTATATATTTTTATATTAAGCGTTACCGTATGGTAACACCAGTTTTTACGTTATAAGAAGATTTAAACATGGTTTATGCCGTTTTTTATAACGATGACGAAATTTTTTATATAGCCATTAAGTTAAAACGTCCCCACCTATAAAGATTCAGGTGAAGAGGATAAGAATGTTGACCATACAAACAGGCAAGAGCTAAGAACGTAAGTTGGAGTATAAGGTCAAAACGGCAATAAAGACCTTGAAAATGAAAACAAGAAATAGAACTATATTGAAACGTATTGCAGTTATCAGAAGAAAAATTTGACGTGAACCTACTGACCAAATGAAACCAAGCTGACTGAAATATAGGAGATTTCTGCAACAAAAACGATTTCCAAAGGGTAGAAATAGACTATTTGTGCCCTGTTTTTGAAACACTTAAATACCACCATCACCCTGGATGGAATGAAATTTTTTGCTGTTCTCAGTTTATCAGAATATTTAGAATTATCTTGTTGATATTTATATTGGAAATCTAAATACACTTCATGGATATAATTTTTTTTTAATTTACTGAACAAAATCTTAATTTTAAGGAATCTTTGATAAACTATTTCAGTAGCCATCCTTGTGAACAGTTTATTTGGAGACAACCTATAGGATTAGGCTGTAAAATGTCGTATCTGAACACTCCATCGGGATATTATAATGGTAAATGTTACACTTCTGAAAGTGTCAAAAGTTCACCATTCAAATTTTATTTTAATCAAACTGGACCAATTCGAAAAAATCGATCGCAAAAGATCTTATGAAGCAGACATTGTCGTGAAATGGATAGAAAATAATATAATAGAATAATAATGGAATGGAATGGAATAAATCCCGTTAAATGAGATTTGTTAAAGGGAGAATATTCAAGATAAGAGATAGGTATATTATGCAAGAAGCGATTGTGGGCATTATTCACGAGGATGTTACATGCTTCTATGGTGAATGCCTTGAATATTCACTGGAAAAGAGAAACTTATTTTTATTGAACCTTACAAAGTTTAGAACATATAATATAGTATTTTTATATGTTATATTATAATATACGTATTTTTGCAAATATGGTGTTCTTTTGAAAGGTGCAAAATAAGCTTCTAGATTACACAAAACAGTCTTAATGACTTAAGATATGATGGACAGTCAGTTACTTGTACCAAATGTAAACAAAATTGGGAGCTTCGCAAGTGAAAAATACGAACAAAATGTTGAAAATATAATGTTATAATATATCGAATGCAACAAATTATTCCATGCCAAATAATTGTATACCACATTAGGCTAAAATTACTGTATGGTAGCGGTCTTATTTTTGGAAGGAAAATGTTTTTGAAATATTCCGACATTTTCTTCTTGGAAAAATAAAAATTTTACGTCAATACAGGGCTAATGTGTTTACTAAGAATTTACACAATAAGCAATATTTTAACATTGTTGGTTTGGCGGGGATTTTGATTATGTGAGCACATATACATAGCTTACTGACAGCTCGCTATCAATTTTGAATTCAAAGAATCCTTAATAGCAGCTTATGACTCTTCTTACCCTACAATACGGTGCGACGAAGCTACAAAAAGAAAAACGTTGTAGTAATTTTCTACAACAAAAATAAATAGTTTCAAAGGGCCTCAAATGTCTCTCTTTACTCCACTGTCAACAATTAAGTTTAAAATACCCTAAAAAGTATTCCTGTTTTTAAAACAGGATACAAACAAATAATATAAGCCATTTTTTACTTTTTAAAAACATTCTCTAATTAAAATATAACATAAAAAATTTAATGAAAATTTCTTGTAGGTGTTTTAGCTGCGGGGAAATCATTTACATGAACATTTCTTTAGTTTTAAAGAAGAAATATTAATAAGTAAGAGAAAACAACACATTATAAATTGAGCAAACTGGCAAAGACAGAAAGATTACAGTAAATAAATTAGAAATAACCAAAACAAAAAGTAAGATCTTAATAATAAATCAATTAAATGGAATATAATTTTTACAATCGCTTAGATTTGGCGTTATTTTGTAGCTTTTACTTTTGTGCAACTCATAGAAACCAGCAGTTTTACTAAAAAATTTAAAATTGCGTCATCCCGAGCTACATATTGTTCAAGGAGTGTAAACTTTCGTGTCCAGTGTCTTCCTATGTTGTAGATACTTTACCATAGGTCAAATTGAAAAATCGGTCGTTGTAAACAAACTAAACACAGCCTCTAAAACAAGCCAAATTTTTCAATACCGACATAACCGGAAACTCAAACTACACAAACCCTAAATAAACAATAAATGGCATAATGTCATTCGACTTTGAGAAGACAACCTTCAAAATCAAAGTCAAGTCGGGCAAAAGAACATTTTAACTAGCATACTAAACGGCAAGACCATATCATTTAAACTCGAAGAATAGTGTAGCTGTTTGCATTCTGAATTGTGATATAGGAAATAAAATGACCATTTATTTAAATAGTAAGTGAGTAAAGCTTTCATTTAATTTGCCATTCTCTGACAAGTGGTTGTCAGAAATGACAAAAAAAGATAACAGAAACTTAAGTTGTTCAAGTATTGCAGATTCGTCACTAACTTCATTCTCCCTTGTAGTGGAGCGAGTATCGAAGGATCATTAACGAACACTAAAAGGTTTTAGTGAAATTCCGCCAAAGATTCCGTTACGTTTTGTTTGCAAATATTCTAAATAATCTCTTTTAAAGGTATTGACACAATGTCGCCAAGACCTCGTTATAATATTTGTTCGGAAGCAATCTAGGACACCGATACGGGTCACCTAAGAATTCTAAACATTTTGGTCCAAATCTGGAAACGGTACTTTGCCCAGAAAATTTTTAAAATTTTTAAAGGATAAAAGATCCATCTTTCCAGATGTACGTATAAAATTTATTTGCAAGATTCCTAATGAGTGGAAGGTATTATACTCCTTAGACCATGATAGGCAGATTGTACTGTACTGCGAAAAATCGAAATGGAGACTCAAAAGCAACTAATTTTTCTCTTTTCGTATAATTCAGCCACTAGGAAGTACTAGTTACCCAAGTCATCGAAGGCTCAAGTCATTTTTAACAATATACGTTGCTAGGAGGTTCTTTTCAAGCCTTATACAAATACGTAATAGCAAAATAGCATAGAAAACTTTATTAGTTCTTCAAGGCAATTATCTCTGCAATATAAGTAAAGTTGTGGACGTGCAGTATTGTCAAAGTCCAGTAGGTACGTAAGTAGTTACATCTTTTATTTTGATATTTGTCGGTGACTTCCCACTTTTTATTAATCTTTATGCTTGCCAGATTTATCGACCACGTAACCTAAATGATCAATGAGAAGGTCACGTTGTCGATAAAATGTAACCAATAGACAGAGGTGTTGTAGGAGTGCTTTGCGTCAAATGTCTCTGTCGCACTGGGGGAACGCAACGTCATTCAAATTGCAGCAGTTAGTATATCTTGAATTATATGTCTATGCCTATACAAGACTAGTTAGGTTAGGTTAGGTTAGGTTATGTTTCCTGTCATTTGTCAGTCTACACAAAAGTCTATACTCCCTGATATATATATAAATAGAGTTTTACTTCTCGTGCATTATAGAATAATACTGAGTTCTATGAGTTGTCTTGGTAAACACACACGAAGCAGATGTTACAAAGTTTTGCTTGGCACCAACTAAATACAGTACCTCTTACCGGTACTTTTGTGCTGACCTGCATAATAAATCCTTTCGGGTCCATTAACAGTATGTTCTTAAAAGAGGGATATTTGTGCTGAATCCTATTTTTGTACATATATCTGATATTGGAAAGGCCACTACTGACGGTAGTGGTTCAAATTATATGATATTGGAACATACTTCCGAACACCCCCTTCGTGTGTGCATACCTGACGATTTTTTATAAAATTCGAGAAATTTTTAAGTGAATAGTGTATACAAAAATAACGCCAAATAACATTTTAATGTAACAATATATGTACAACTTCTCTCAGAAAGTTTATTTGTAAAAAGATCAATTAGAAAACAAGTACTTTTCTATAAGATGAGTTCATTATTTTTCCGAAATCTCAAGCAGATACTACAAATACCTAGTAGTAACCATAAAATTAAAATGCCCTTTGATCAAATACTGAAACATCCCATATTCCGTCTTTTTACACATAAACTCCCCGATATGCCCTGTACAAGTTTTGAACGCGGTTGGTTATCAGGTGCTTGCTGATTTTTTAAACTGTTTTTATTTCCCTATGAACCGAATTCAATCACCACATTTAAATTAAGTAAATTGTCCATCTTCATGGAATTTTCTAGAAAAAAACTAATTATAAACTAGTATCACTATGACTTTATCCTCTGGTGGATTTCAGTTGTACCGTTAACGTAGTATTCACTAACTTTACTAACTCCATTTTTATGGACGCCATTTGTGTGGCCGTTGGTGTAACCGTTCTGGTGGCCGTTTTGAGTTTTGGCTTTACCGTTGAGCTCTTTACTTCTCATTTTTCTGGAATAGGTTTGGTTGTAGAACTCTTTGAAGAGGAAGAAGAACATGACAGCGTGCATGCCTATCCACCACACGAACGCTCTAGGGTAGTTGCAGTCGGTGAAGAGAAGTTGGAAAGCGTGGACCATGATAGCAACGAATTGTACCTAAAAATATTAATTTTTATTAAGACAACACAGTAATCTAACACTTTATAGTCTTTAACTAAATAAATTTGATAAGGGGAGAATTGTTTATCTCAAGTTGGTCATTCAGAATTATACCTGTATTTTTTCATTTGTTAATTTCCATAGACTCTATGAATGATAGCTTAATGCCTTTATTCTGAATGTGTAGAATTAGAAATTGGTTATTATAAGACTGATTCTGATCTATAAGATGAAGTGCGTAAGAAGAATCTGTTTTTTCTACTATTAAAAGCCCTTTTATGGTCTGATATCCATTTGTTAAAGGTTCTACCCGTTTGACCCATGTTTTTTCTTTGTGAAATGCATGTGCTTTGGTCTATATTGTATAGGGAAATGATAATTCCTTTTTTTGAGATATGTAGATGATGCTCCATACGGATTCACAGACCAGAAGCATTGAATAATATTTAAAGGTAGGACAAAGTAAGGGGTACTGATTGTTATTGATAAAGAACATAAAAATCATATAATTATAAAAATGCTTATAAAGTACATCCATTCAGCAAATTCCCAACTGTAAACAAACGCACGTATTGATATTTTTACCCTCTCATTCATCAAGAAGCTATTAATTATAATTTATTGCCTTAAGTCAGACGGATTCTCATTTTACAGGTGCAAACTTGTCAGTCTGTTTAAATTCAAATTGTAGCGTGTTGGTTTTTAAGTTAATATATTATGTGTTATATGTAGTTATTGTTAACTTTTAGTATCCAAAAACAAAGTATTTGTTAATCAAAAATAAAAATATCTTGCGGTAATTACTTTAATAAAGGTAAAAGAAACCAATACTTTACTTTATTGATATTTCGAAAAGTTTTATTTCCTTTTTAGTCCATTTATTCACGGTTTTGCTGTAAATATTAAAGAACCGCTTGGATTGACATGAAATTTAGTAACGGAAGCTAGCTAACGGAAAAGAAAAAAAAAACTGATATTGTGCCGATGTGTGCTTTTGCCATGGTGGTTAGTTTCACCCCTTCTCGGGTGTGAAAAAAATATGCGTTTAGTGTAGTGAACAAGTCCAGAAAGCAACTTTTACTTTATACAGTTTTTGCAGAAATCAATAATAATCGAGTTAGTTGCTAGTGCAGTTTTCCGCAAATAGCTAAAAAGTAAGTATTTTATCGAAAAACATATTTTTAGCAAAAATACAGCTTATAAAAAAGTAAAAAAAATAATGTACTCGTACCTATATGACGTCTGTAAACTCAGTAAAAGCAGAGTTGTAGCTAATGAAAAGTAATTCAAATTTCAAATCCAATATGTCAACGAGAAATGTAAAAAAATTAAGCACTTTTCGGGGAAAACTCGCTGTATGGAAAAGTGCTTGTTGAAATATTCAATTTAGAATTTGAGGAATAAGAACCTACTTTTCATTAGCTACAATTGTGTTTCTGGCTTTATACGTACACCTTTTTTGCTATTTTATAAGCTATATTTTTGCTAAGAATATTTTTTCGATAAAATACTTACTTTTTGAGTTATTTGCAAAAACCGTCTAAAAACCTTGTTTTTTGTTGTTGAAAAATGAACATATTCAGTCGAAAATAACTCGAAAAGTATTGACTCAGTGAAAAAACCCTATGGAACAAAAGTTGCTTAGAATTAGTCAGTTTAACCAATTCCTGACTTATTTTGAAAGTATGTTTTTACCCCTGAGAATGGGTGAATTTTATGTGAATGAAAGCTGTTGTTTGGGGAGGTTTTATGACCTCCCCAAATGTTGTTATATTTCTGACCTTGAAAAGATATACAGAATGCAGTTTCACAACTTTACCGATATTTTCGATGATGCTGGTTTTATTACAATACAAATTATTTTTCCTTAGTCTATTTTGACATTCTCTCAATCATCTCAGTACATTAAGTTATTGAAGATAAATAGAATAACAAAAATGTCAAGCGCTGATACAGCCGATGAACTCCTTAATATTGATTTAACCCTCACTCCCCTAAAAAAAGACCAGTAAAGGGACATTTCGACGTTAAAACGAAGAAAATGATTATAAATGTATTTAAAACAGAAATGCAGGAGAGCCCTACAATGTCGGAAAGTGCGATTTCTATTAGAGTAGCAGATAAAATAGGTACTGATATTGTTTCTCCATTATTTATTCTAGAGTGCCCATTTTCACTTTATTTAACAAATATTGTTACTTTTTATCTATTGTAGGCATGTGTAGCCATAGTGTACGCAATGTGGTTTATGAATGTGAAATTACGAGAACATTGTCGACACCAAAATCAAACTCGGTGGATGAATTTGACAGAGAAGCAATAAGAAGAAGAATAATCCATCAATTCTTTTTTCGAAATGAAATACCCACAATATACAAAGTTCTGAGGGTTGTTAATTAAGATCCGGTTTTGCATAACTTCAAAAGAACTACGTTTTTTAAATTATTGAAAGAAAGAAATTTTAAGTTTCAATGTCGTCAGCGATACAGCATTGGGACGAAATTGTTTTGTGGGAACGAGAATTTCTGATAAAAATTAAGTCCTACAGAAATGAAAACCGCAAAGTTTACTACTTAGACGAGACTTGGCTAAACGCTGGTCACACCAAATCTAAAGTATGGGTCGCCAATTCGGTAACTTCTTATAAACAAGCGTTTTTAAATGGACTTTCTAGCGGTTAAAAAATCCTGCAGGTAAATGTTTATGTGCTTTTTTTTTCACTTAACATAATTTTTAAAATAATAAAATTTTCAGGGAAAGGATAAGAACTAACAATTTGCCACATTGGTAGTGAAGATGGGTTTGTTCGAGAAGGGCTTTGGGTGTTTGAATAAAAAAAAGTGGGGACTACTATGAAGGGATGGACGGGAAATCTTTCGAAAATTGGCTCAAAAATATACTGCCCCGGTTAGAAGACAACTCCATCATCGTATTACACAACGCGTTTTATCATTCCAAAAAATTGGAAAAAAATCCAACTACTGCTTCTAGAAAAGCTGACATCCAAGCGTGGCTGAAATAAAAAATATAGGATTTGAGGAATCCATTTTAAAAGTGCAACTGCTGGCTATCGTTAAGGAACATAAAGGACAATATAATAAATATATCATTGATGAGATGGCAACTAGAAAAAAACAAAGTTTTCTTAAACATACCATTGTGAGCTCAATTCGATTGAGCTCATCTGGGCAGAAGTAAAAAATTATGTAGAAGCCAAAAACACTACTTTTAAATTTGCAGATATGAAAAATATTTTTTATGATTCAATAAATAATATTAGTACAACTACGTGGCAGAAATGTATACAACACGTTCAACAAAAAGTCGTGACCAAAATGTGGAAGTTGGACAATATAATAGAGGACCAAGTCAAATCCATAATAATAAATCCAGACGAAGACAATCCAGAAAATGTAGCTCCTCAGGCTCTGAGTAATTTAAATGGTATGTTTTTATGCTTTGATAAACTTATGAAAATGCTATTTTATTCAAAATGTTCACTTTGTTATGTATCTCTCAGTTAATAAATACACTGCGCTCCAAAATTAACGCCTAATTTTAAAATTCTTATTTTGAGTTGTAATGAAAAAAATTTTGTTTGTTCTCTTCTGCTTTATGGTTGTTTTAGAACATCTTAAATAAAACTATTCTTTTTTTACAAAAAATGTATTGAAATTAACAATATAACATCCTAACATAAATCATAACATCTAAACGAACTGATCTAAATAAACTAACATCGTAAATTAATGAAGAAAAAGTTTTTAAAGTTGAAGAAAATACTACTACCGTGTACTAGTATCGAGTATTGCCTCCTCTGGCATTTATTACTGCTTGACAACGATCTCTCATACTGAGAATAATTGTTCTGATTTCTTCTTAATCAATTTGATCCCAAATTTCAACCAACCGCAAAAACAGTTCATCTAATGTGTTTTTTGCATTAGGTAGTTGTCGTAGTCGTCTGCCTATGATGTCCCAAACATGTTCTATTGGGTTAAGGTCAGGACTTCTCGCAGGCCAATCCATGGCAGGAATTCCAACCTCCTGACGATACTGCTGCACAATTCTTGCCGTGTGTGGCCTGGCATTATCTTGCATAATCATGAAATTATCCCCAATAAATGATACAAATGGCACGACATGCTCTTCTAAAATGTCTGTGATATACCTCTGCGATGTAAGCCGACCGTGATTTATTTTAACTAATTCCGTACGAGCCTCTAAATTAATCCCACCCCATACCATTACCGAGCCGCCGCCATACTGTTTAGTCCCTACGGTGTTACACTGTGCGTAGCGTTCCCCAGGCCTTCTATACACTCGGTTTCTCCTGTCATCAGAAAAAAGACAGTACCTGGATTCATCGGTGAACAATATTCTTCCCCAATCGTCATTATTCCAATCAACATGTTCACGAGCAAAATTCAATCTTTGCCCTCTATGGTCTCTGGTCAATAATGTGCCAATTGGTGCCCTTCCAGGGTGTAGGTCGTTTTCGGCAAGTCTTCTTCTAATTGTATTTTGGCTGATTCTAAAGTTATAACGATCCAAAAATTCATTTTGTAGAGAAGTACTGGAAACAAACCTTTGTCTCAGTGTACGAAGTGTCAAAAACCGGTCTTGATTAGGAGTTGTAACCCTTTTACGGCCTTGACCGAGTTACTTCCAGTAACAGAAAAACGTGTTAACACTCTTAAAATTGTTGACTGGGTGACGTTAAAACGTTCAGCGAGTTCTACTTAAGTGTATCCTTCTTCGCGAAGAGTAACAATTCTAAAACAGTCACTTTCTGACAAATTTCGATTTTCTTGCTGCGGGTGGTTCATTTCAAAGAAAAAAAACTTAATAAACTTAAAAAACCCCTTTAAACGTTCAGCACAACGAAATCCAACCCAACTAAATTCGAAATAAAATGAAGCACAATTAGCATGTTTTTAATTTTTTGCAAAAAAAATGATAAAAACATCAGCGTTTTTTACCGTTCTTTCGATAAATTTTACAATATACCGAGGGTAACGATAATATATTAGCACAAAACTCGAAACATTAAAATTATTTAATTTACCAGGGTTTTTAAAATTATGCGTTAATTTTGGGGTGCAGTGTATTTTATTTGAGCACATTTTTCTTCAATGGAACATTAAATTTTGCTCACAATGATTAAATTTCAAGAAATTCTTACACTCATTGTTCCAAATGTAAATATTTTAAAAAATCATATAATACACCTCAGTACGACCCTGTTTGGCTTTCACGTGCATTTGTTTACAGTTGGGAATTTGTAAAATGAATGTAGTTTAGAAAATACAATAACTATTGGGCTTCAAAACAAGATAGGCTTCATAATGTTAATGAAGTTAGTAGTATACATATAAAGTTAATTTAGATTTCAAAGACTTTATAATACTGAAGGGATTATTAAAAAAAGACCTATATTATTTACCATTTGGAATGCTGTAAGGTATTTCTTCCACCATAGATATTTCTGCATATGTGGTCCCATCGCGGACAACATATAGTACGTGTACATAATAATATGAACAAAAGTGTTGATAAAGCCAAAGAATGTGCTGTGGCCACCTAAAAAATAAAATGTTATTCATATGTTTTCATATTCTATAATAATATAAAGAAATTAGCCCAGGGAAATAAGCATTTTTTCATGACACTCGTCCGGCCAGGCAAACGACAGTTGTTTTGAGTAGTGTGGACCTCTGTAATAAAAACCTATATGTTTCCTGCAGTCGATTTTTTGGACTTAATTAGTTATTAACAAATTAAGGTCAAAAAACGGAAAATTTTTGGTTTTTTTCGTCTATCAGTAAAAAGTGAAGCAATTTAAACAAATTTTAGAAGAGAGGAAACTTATAAGTTATATAAATACCTTCAAAATGGCGTTTTCAAAATGTTTCTATCCTTAGTTGTTGTTTAGAAAGTTGCAAAATAAGTCAAAAATTTAGGTTTTTTATAAATGTTAATAACTTTTTTGAAAATAAACTTATAATATTTATATTTTATGGAATGGTGTGTCTTGTAGTACTTAAAATAGGGTTAAAATTTCAAAGTGACCGGTGTAATAGTTTAAAAGTTATTTTATTTGTTTATCCCAAATTAAATTTTTTGCAACAATACAAGTCAGAAATTTATACAGTTTTAGAAATTGTAAGGGTTGTTTTTGGTAGAAAAAGACTTGTTTTATTATTTACATTAAAAAAAAATTAAGAAAATTAATTTTAAATATTGCAAAATAATTTTGCAAAAACATGTCGATTTTTTGCTTATAAACAATTAGAATAACTTTTTAACAATTGACTGTAAAAATATTATTTTTACATATTTAAAAAGCTTGAATTTTTTCACAAATTTAAATAAAAAAAAGTTTGTCCTAAAATAATTTGGTTCAAAGTTGACCTCTTTTTTTATTTAATTCATAGCACCTTTGTTTATAATAATTAAGAAATCTAATTAGCGCTATTTGAAAGAATATACATTATAGTTTTAAACTACTAAGTTTTAAAATTATTGCCCGTTAATGGATCCTCCACAAAGCTTTAAAATGTATGTAAAATCCGTCGGCTTTGAAACTCTCGGGAGCTGAAGGGAGGGGGAAGGCGCTGTTAACTGTATCTCTGTTCCTTTTTTATGTATTTCAACGTTTCTTTTTGAACTTGTATGTACTTTTTGCGTACATTACGAATATGCATTATTTCAATAAATAAATTGTCAAATAAACCACATAATTTGTTTAAAAACAATTTTTTTAAATTTTTTTAGTAGTATTTAAGCGTTATTTAAGTTAAGTTTGAATGTAAAACAGAAGTACTTGTCATTTCCTATATTTTGGGGAATAAGCCACCATTTAAGTTTATAATAAGTTTATTTTTGACGTTTCGATTTCTACTTCGGAAATCTTTCTCAGAATACAGAACATTATTAAATTAAGTAAATTTTGTTTTTGGTTACTTGGTAGAAAATTTGGTTGGAAAATTTTTCTGATAACTCTTCTGGGTGATTGATTAGGGTGAGGAAGCTCAGTAGATCTGTTTTAGTAAAAATTACAAAAACAAGTTATTTATAAAACTTGTAGACAGCTTTAAACTCGACATTTTAAAATTAGTTACAATCTTACAGGGTGTTCTATAAGATGGTGGCAGACCAAACTTATGTTTTTTAAATGAAACACCCTGTATTTTATTTTAAATTTGAAATCTGCTTCACTTCCATATCACAACAATGTAAAGTTTTATTATGTTATACCGGGTATTTAAAAAGTTATAACCAATATTACCTGAAAATCGTATTAAGTTTAACTCCCTGTATAATTAAAAAGGAGTATAGGTCCATTGATCTATTGCAACCATAGTTTTTTAATAATTGTTAAAAATTATAAAACATATTCATTTTCATAATATTCGTTAAATCAAATACATGGTAAGTCAAAATGCAAGTACATTATTTTCTTGGTAATTTTAAATAGAACACCCTGTATTTTATATCACTTACAAACACAGTTTGGTCTGCCACAATCTTATAGAACACCCTGTAAGATTGTAACTAATTTTAAAATGAGTTTAAAGCTGTCTACAATTTTTGTCAATAATTTTTATTGTAATTTTTACTATAACAAATCTACTGAGTTTCCTCATACTAATCAATCACCCAAAAGAGTTATCAGAAAAATTGTCTACCAAGTAACCAAAAATAAAATTTGATTAATTTATTAAAGTTCTGCATTCTGAGAAAGATTTCCGAAGTAGAAATCGAAACATCAAAAATAAACTTATTATAAACTTAAATTGTGGCTTATTCCCCAAAATATAGGAAATGACAAGTACTTCTGTTTTACATTCAAACTTAACTTAAATACTACTAAAAAAATAAAAAAAAATTGTTTTTAAACAAATTAGGTGGTTTATTTGACAATTTATTTATTGAAATAATGCATATTCGTAATGTACGCAAAAAGTACATACAAGTTCAAAAAGAAACGTTGAAATACATAAAAAAGGAACAGAGATACAGTTAACAGCGCCTTCCCCCTCCCTTCACCTCCCGAGAGTTTTAAAGCCGACGGATTTTACATACATTTTGAAGCTTTGTGGAGGATTCCATTAAAGGGCAATAATTTTAAAATTTAGTAGTTTAAAACTATAATGTATATTCTTTCAAATAGCGCTAATTAGATTTCCTAATTGTAATAAACAAAGGTGCTATGAATTAAATAAAAAAAGAGGTTAATTTTGTACCAAATTATTTTAGGACAAACTTTTTTTTATTTAAATTTGTGAAAAAATTCAAGCTTTTTAAATATGTAAAAATAATATTTTTACAGTCAATGGTTAAAAAGTTATTCTAATTGTTTATAAGCAAAAAATCGACATGTTTTTGCAAAATTATTTTGCAATATTTAAAATTATTTTCCTAATTTATTTTTAATGTAAATAATAAAACAAGTCTTCTTCTACCAGAAACAACCCTTACAATTTCTAAAACTGTATAAATTTCTGACTTATATTGTTGCAAAAAATGTTAATTTGGGATAAACAAATAAAATTACTTTTAAACTATTGGACCGATCACTTTGAAATTTTAACCCTATTTTATGCACTACAAGACACATCATTCCATAAAATATAAATATGTTTATTTTCAAAAAAGTTATTAACATTTATAAAAAACCGAAATTTTTGACTTATTTTGCAACTTTCTAAGCAACAAATAAGGATAGAAACATTTTGAAAACGCCATTTTGATGGTTTTTATATAACTTATAAGTTTCCTCTCTTCTAAAATTTGTTTAAATTGCTTCACTTTTTGCTGATAGCCGAAAAAAGCAAAAATTTTCCGTTTTTTGAACTTAATTTGTTAATAACTAATTTTGTCCAAAAAATCGACTGCAGGAAACATATAGGTTTTTATTACAGAGGTCCACACTACTCAAAACAACTGTCGTTTGCCTGGCCGGACGAGTGTCAAAAACAGGGTACTTTTTTTGCTTACTTCCCTGGCCTATATTTTTTTGCTGGTTTTCTTTAGAAATATTTTTTTTCCCATTCTGTAACTATGACCTTTAGGTACTGCTTGTATTATTTCATCCATTATTATATTAAAGAGAAGTAGGCTTAACGAGACTTAATTTTTTATGACATAATTAACAATTCGTTTATTGGTTTTTATTCTGACACAGCATCATACGCAGTACCGAAATTGCTCCTTAGAATTGGGTTCGTCTGGTTTTTCGTTCCTGGCCTAGGATAAGGACCTATATTCCTTCTTTTAGGAGAATATTTTCGCCATATTATTGCATTTGCTCAGAAGATAGTGGATATAAATTGCTCTGACATCCATACCTCAACAATGCCAGCGTTAAGCGCCATGCAAGACCCTGTGATAACCAAGAAGATCAATCTAGTCTAGGTGCCGGTTAGGTCGGATATAAAGAGAAATGAACGAAACCATGTAGTTGTTGCACAGTTCACTGCGATTCAAACCAGTCATTAGAGTACCTTTATCACCGGTTGGTGTAGTTTTAGGGAGATTATATTAAAGAGGGTTCTTTTTATTTCTGAGGGATCACCAAATGAACAAAAGTCTGTCTTTGGACTGCCAAAACCTAGATTGAATTTCGTCTGGAAGATCTTGAAGAACTTTGAGTGAGATGCAAGTGACTTCTTCTGTTCTTTTTGAGTTTGTTTCCAAATACGCCACAATTTTTTAATAGATAACTCAGGGCTAAGGTAACCGCGGACGCTCTTACCCCGACCATAATGACTTTCACAGTACTTTAATGATTTTATGAAATTGAGTTGTACTTAAATCTTTGGCTTTTATCCTAGCCCCACCTCGCATTTCACGATGATAATCTCCTGACTCTTTTAAAGCTTTAGCTAATCGATTCAATTTTTGATGAAAATTGTGCGATGGACAGGAATGTGGAATTACAAACACTTGATAAAACACGATTTGTCTGTCGCAGGAAGTATTTTGTAACTGTTTGAGATTGTGGATTTGTTTTATTTCTAAGCCTATGTTATTTAGACTCTTGATTGAGAAGGTATTTGAATACGAAGTTTTTCTGATCAGCAGCAGTCTTATGTGAGTAGATTTTATCACAAAAGCTACTTACATCATTAGGAGTCAATAGATATGCTTTACAAACATCACCTTTATGATCACAAGCAATGCGAGGATCCGGATGAGCTTCTTTAATATTTCTTGCGAATTTCTTGAGATTTTGTATCACAGGTCTTCATTTTTCTCTCGCTTCCTCTTCTTGGCACTATTAATGTCGTTTACAGATACAGAAAAATCACTTGTTACAAAACCTAAACTCATTTTATAGTTATATCACATGTTTTTTATTACTCGCTTCAAACCTCAAACAGTGAACATAACGAAAAACAGCAAATATATGCTGACAGCTGGAATCGCGCATGCGCAATCACTCAACAGCTGACTGCTGTTGGAAAAATACTGCTGTCAGTGCACTAAGTCTTGCTGACTGCTCCCAGATCTATTCGGATTAGTATATAAGTCAAGATACCGCCTACGTGAGGCGGAGGATGAAACGTCCTCGCTCCTTCTCTGATACTATCCAGACCTGACCTATCAAAGGTGACAAATTTTCAAATCAGAATTTATCCAGGAAGTTTTTGACATTATGTAAAGCCGCAAGTCCCACTGTCTGTGGGTCTCTCACAGCTGGTTTTAGGCAAATAAATTTGAGCTTTACAGAGTTGGGTCCCCTGATGTAATGAAAGGTGGGGTATCACTATGGCATAATCTAGATATCAAGGAATAGAACAAATTACCATTTTAGATGGTCTTATAATCTTCCCGGAGTGCCGATAACATAAATTCTTGCCGAAAACATGCCACTATTCGAATAGTGAACGAGTTACCAATAACCCTTTTGTAGTCATATGACTATTGGTCATATTTTTCAAGTTATTTTTTTTTTTCATGAAATGACTTACCTGGTGTGTATTTTACTCCAAACCACACTGACATTGGCATAACTCCATGATGAATTACGTGCAGAGTTGAAATATGATCATTTTTCTTCCTTAGTACAAAGAAAAACTGCAAGAAAAGAGAAACATTCAGTTCATCAAATAATAAATTTTGTTTTTGTAACAAATATACCCTTGAAATAATAGGATGAGAGTGGACGATAAAGAATAAAAGAGAAAAGGAAGAGGAAAGAAAGTAATATAATAAAATAAAAAAAAAGTGTGTTACGGCAAGGAAACTTACGGAAGTTTAAAAATAAATTTATACGAGAAATACTATAACACTCCTCTTCTAAGTGTATCAAATAGCACGTTTAAAGTAACGGCTGTTTCTTCTTTTAACAAAGATTAAGTTATAAGCAGACTAAATAAAGGCATTGGATTTTACATGTCTAGAGAACAATATTATTCTCAAAGAAACGAAAAACATTAAAAAAAATTAACACATAAAATGAAATCTTAAAAATACTTACTGTATCGAAGAATTCTGTGAATTTCGAGAAAAAGTACCACCATGATGCGTGTACCATCTAAAAATAAGAATTGTTAGTTTTGTGCTGAATTCACTATATATTAAGAACTTACTCTTATTGTACTTGGTTTATTGGAATAATCTACTGGCTGACACCTCAAGCTATATTCCCCTGTAAACCATCCCCCCATACCAATCTGAAAAACAAAAATATGATTATCATAAATACAGGAACTGTAAACAAAAAATAGAGAAGTTCCACTAAATATTATAAAAACTATCTAAAACATCTACCAAAAGAACAAAATGGAAATCAAAATAGATGGACAACTTACAGAACCCCTAGAAATAGGCAGCGGAATAAGACAACGGGACTCATTGAGCCCTATGCTCTTCAATTTAATTATTGATGGAATCATCAAAAGCGTTAACAAAGGAATACAAAATGAGAAACAAAGAAATAATAATCTGTTACGCAGATGATACAATATTGATAGCCCAATATGAAGATATTCTGCAAAGACTGATCCACAGATTTAACATACGAATAAAAGAATTTATTATGATAATCTCATCTCAGAAAACTAAAACAATAGTAATCAGCAAAGAACCAACCAGATGTAAAATAGAAATTGGATCAGTATCCAACAAGTAATCGAAATAAAATACCTTGGAATTAGATTGTCCAGCTATGGAGACCTGGACAAAGAAGTGGGAGATCAGGTACAAAAAGAGACTAGCAGGATGCCTTAATAACACTACATGGCGAAAGAGACACATTAACCCTTAGATGAAGTCAAGAATTTATAAAGCCAGTGTAAGACCAATAATGACATATGCCTCAGAAACAAGACCCGACACAGCCACAACACAAAGACTACTGGAAACGTCAGAGATAAGAGTACTGAGAAGAATTATAGGAAATGCGCTGAGAGATCAAAAGAAAAGAGAAGACTGAAGAAAATGTAACGTACAGTGTATAAAATATTGGAGACTAAATAGAAAAAAAGAATGGAATAACCACATAAGCAGAATGAGGGAGACCCGTATCATCAGAATAGCAAGAAATAAGTCACCAATTGGCAGAAGAAGTATCGAACAACTGCGCAAAAGATAGAGTGACAAAACTCCATGGAGGTACTAATCCGCCAATAAACAAGCAGAATTGCTTATAAAGGGGAAGAGAAGATACTTTTTAGTAATTATTAATCATAAATTTTCATTATTTAATAACATCCTACATTCTCTAATATCCTGATAACACGGCAACGTTGTACGAAACGTGTGACAACGTCGTAACTAATCGAACAGTTAATAGATGACGTACAACAGATTTAGCGGGAAAATGGCAAAACATACATTATATTTGCGTGTTTACTCTTATACAATAGAAAAATAAATGGCATTAACTACTTACTTGATAAAATATCCATATACTAAATATAACCTGGGCAAAATTATAAACAATAAGGGTATTCTTTAAGTTAAGAGGCTTCCTATTTTCCATGAACTTTGGTCCTAATACCTAAAAAATAAAAAATAAATTTAAAATTAACCTAGTTTCAGGTATAACCTAGTATATATTATTTTAATTTAATAATTTAATACCTGAAACTAGGTATAACCTAGTTGCAGGTATTAAATTTCGGCACGAACAAGCTTAACAGTTTGTGCTCTAACAAATAAGGCTAGCGACCTTTTAAACCTTTTTTAAACGGTCACTTTACAAATGCCTGTAATTTAATTATACTGCTATTTGGCAAGAGATGGCGCGTACTGTTTTGTGTAGTAAAAAAATCCACTATAGTTATTGTATAAATCAATTATAGTCGTTGTAAAAATCATGTGTTTGCTGTAGAATTTTTGAGGTTACCTGAGATACTGTTTATTGTTTCCAAACATGGCTGATTGAAGGTGAATAAAATTAATGTATTACTACTAACTACTACTATTACTGGTCTGTTTATAATGTTCTCCGCCGTTTTCCGACTTCCAATCGCCACTTAGTCCGGTTGTTCCATAGGTCTTCTTCTATGACACTCTCTCTCTCTCTCTCTCTCTCAGTTCTTTATTTATTCCTTCGCTCCAACTTTTTCTCGGTCCACCTCGTTTTCTCTTTCCTTCTGGTTGCCATTTTAATATTTCTTTTAGTATTCGTTGTTCATCCATTCTTTGTATTTTTCCGAACCAGATAAGTTGTTTTGTTGTTAGGTCATCTGTGATTGTTCGTTTGATTCCCATTATTTCTCTAATGCGTTCGTTGGTAATCCTTTCTCTTCTAGATCTTCCTGCGGCTCTTCTCTTAAAATCCATTTCAGTCGCTTTCAGCATTGTCAGTGTTCTTTTTTTCAGTGGCCATACCTCACAGCTGTATAAAGTGATACCTGTTACTATAGTCTCATATATCCTCTTTTTATTTTCTTTGCTGATGGATTGTTCCCATAAAATACCGTTTAACATTGTGGTGGCTTTTCTCCCTGACGTATTTCTCTCGCTTGTGGCTTTGTCTAATGTCCCATCTTGTGAAAGAGTAATACCTAGATATTTGAAGTCACAGCAGTGCTTTATCGTGGTGTTAT